CTTTCCCTATGTCGATCTTTGGAATATGAAAAAAAGATTGATTCTTAATTTAAAGAGGCGAATATGAACGTTACTTGTTCATAGTACCTAATGCATAATTCACATCAATGCTTTAGGCCTCCAAGACAAGTTACAAGGTTATAGTTTATGAACTATTTGTTAAAAATAATTGATTGGAATTGATATTTATTATGACGTCTATTTGCATTTATAGATCGTGAAGAACAATGCTTCGACGGAGTACGATCTCACTGACAAGAGCATTACACCTATGGGTGGCTTTCCGCATTACGGTGAAGTTAATAATGACTTCATTATGATCAAGGGATGCTGCATGGGTCCGAAGAAGCGCGTGATTACGCTGAGGAAGGTAAGAATTGATATCGACGAACAACAATACATTGTTCTGCTTTACATGATGAGTTTCTATAGAGCTTTTCATATTATTGATTACGATGATAATTAAATGATAGGACTGATGAAATATATTTGATATTATATTAGTAGATATTTACAAGCGTATTTTTGACATAAAAACATATCTTGCAGTCTTTATTGGTGCACACCAAGAGATCAGCGTTGGAGAAGATCAACCTTAAGTTCATTGATACTAGCTCCAAATTCGGACACGGTCGTTTCCAGACCGCTGTCGATAAAGCCTCCTTCATGGGACAACTCAAGAAGGATCGTCTACGTGAGGAAGAAGCGCGTACCGTCGGTGTACCAACCGCCCCGCCGGCGCAGTAAAATTGTTCTACTGAGCACGATTTACGAGAAGAAGAAAAATATAGATTTTTCGAGAATCTTACAAATTGGTTGTATATGTATTTATTCCTTTGCATTTTCTCCTGTATATTTATATCCTTTGAAAAGACAGATTTGTACCCCAATTTTATAATTCTTAAATAGCAGTACTGTTATTACATTACTGTGCATATTACATATGGTAAGACATGTGCAACGACAATATAATGATACCAAACTGCCATTAAGAAATCAAAGATCTATTTGTGTTGCTTGCACTTTTTGTATGCCTCTTTGCTTTTTCTCTCTTCAATGCCGAATATTTTTTTGGAAATTTCGAGCAATACGAACAGACCTAAGAATTGCAGATTCAAAGTACTGAAGTTCTAAGTAATGTGAGTCACACGAACTATTTTTTTCAATTTATTTTGCAGTCTGTTTTATCTTTGGATTCTTTTTGAGAAGTGTCACTCTGTTGTGAAAAAAGAAATTTGTATATATATATATATATATCTGAAATTTTATATTTATAAAAATAATATGTATGTCATGTGAAATCGTTTTTCTCTCTATAACTACTTTGAATTTTAAGAATTTATATTAAATAATTTTTTTTTTGTGTAATTGCTTCTGAATTTAAAGATTTATGTTACATTGTTTTCTTTTTCTCCGTAATTACTTTCAAGTTTTTGACTCATTTCTTATTTGTATATATACTGATTTTTTCCACCACTATAATTAGTACCAAGTAACAACCATGACTGTGTTCGCTTAGATGCTTATAACGCTTGTAAGCATTAAGGTACCTTTTTATGTTGACGCTCGACGCTCATTTTTGGCGTCAAAATAAGTCACGTGATAGAAATTGACGAATATCAAGCGTCCATTTTGATCACGTGATCCTTTTTGTCGCTGAAACAACCGATTTGAGCAACTCGTGAAATTTACCTTTAATTGTTTAATATTTAACAAACAAGGATGAAATGACGTTTTTAAGCGTTGTAAGCAAAGCGAACACAGCCCATGAGTCGCAACTGCGCAGTGTCGCCTGTGACTGTGTTCCAAAATTCACTGACAGTGCTGGAAATGTATAGTATACGTGACGTAAACTGTAGATTTCAGCGCTGGCAGTGAATTTGGAATCCAGCCTGTATGCCTGTCGCATGTATCGTGTATGTCGTGACGTCACGTGACGTGTTTGCATCGACTAGTACGTAAAAATAACCTTACGTAAAGATAACCTTAGAGAAATATTATTGTTGCTGTTGATTTTTCTATTCTAGCCTAATTTGAAATTATGGCAGAACAGGAAAACTTCCTTTACAGGCTCATGAACTCTGTAATTTATATGGTGGATGCGCCAGTCACGTATGTCCGAGGTATTATCTAATCGTTGTGGTTATGTTGTAACCTTTTCATAACGTAACCTCCTAGGCTACGAAATTCCAAAACGTTCTCCGAGGAAGATTTTACTCTATATACTATAGTATATGTGTGTTACATGTGTATATTTTGAATAAAAAAAAATTTTTCTCGGAGAGGACGTTTTGGAATGTATTCCTGAACGAATATCTTTCGTTGCAGAGAAATTAGTAGTACCGAATCAAAAGAAATATCCATGGTATCATCAACAATATCGTCGCGTACCGACGATCGATGAGTGTTACATGGACGATATAGTCTGTGAGACCGAGGCAGATTGTCAACTTAAACGCGATAAGTAAATAAAAGTTTTATGAGGTATTAGTAGTAAGAAACAAAAACCTGATAAAATTTTTCTCAAAATTTTGTATGCACATTGGAACATTTTTCAAGTGTTAAGAAAGTTACATCTTTTCTAGAATTCTTTCTATGTGAAATCTGAAATATCTAACATAAGAGGTTTCTGATTCTATAATTTCTGACAAAATCTTACAAAATTTGAAAAAGTTTTAAGATCTGTTTTCGGACATTATAAACTGAGAAATTTTAGATTATTTTACAATTCACAAAATTCCAAAGAAAAAGATGTAGCTTTCGAATTTGTATAACAATTCTGAGAGAAATGTTGGCCATGCAGAGTAATATCCCCAACTTTCTTCTCGACGTTTTTCCTCGTTTCTTTTTTAGGGCAGTAGAAGATCAAATTCTGTTTATTCTAAGAAGTCGTTTTGAACAGTGTGCCATCTATCACGGCGATGACGTACATTTATGCGATCCTATAAGGAAAATTTATGATGATGCGGCTGTTGCTTGGTTCATCAAATGTGAGTATGTGTTCATGATGAAAATTACAGATAAATTAAATATAATACAATCAAATTTGAGTCTCGAGCAATTGTGGTTCAGATTGTTTCTCATAAGTAAGACAATTGTACCTTCTCACATTTTATATAAAAATTTATATCAAGTATATTTCTTTTCTATAACTACTTTCAAATTTTAAGAATTTATGTTAATTTTTCCTTTTTCTCTGTAACTGCTCTTAAATTTAGAAAATTGTATTGTATTTTTTTTTATAATTGCTTTTAAATTTATTTGATAGCCAATTTTTCATTTTTTAATTTAATCAACGTATCTAATGTGAAAGAAGAATCTTTATTATTTGGAAGAATTTTTAAGATCCTAAAAATGTTTATAATCTCTTACATCAAATCAGACACTCCGAAAGAAGTGAAAGACTATCGCAATGTTATGTCAAATCGAGCTTAATATACATATAATTGCAAAGGATTGACATATTTTATTCAGTTTATTTTCTCAAATGTGCAGACGGTGAAATGGGAGTATCTTTAAACGCAAGAAATGCATACATGAAGCAGAAACATCGTCTGATCTGGGAGCGCCGTCACGGGCCAGTAGGTACCGGCATGAAACAACAACCGAACAAGGCGTAGCAAACTTGAACCGACATCGTAGCTGATTATATGAATTTAATGGCAAACACATTCGTACATTATGAATCTGAATTACACGTTTGCTTAATATGTACAGATGTGTTGTGATTTAAAGACGGCGGGATAATAAAAATAATTTATCAGAATTTTAATCTCTCATTTGTAATCTCTATAACAATCTGTATCTTATAATGATATATATATAAAACCACACAGCGTGCACGCATCGACAGCAATCTTTGAATATTGCATGAATCAATATATATCTTTCCTTTTATTTCTTCATTGTACAATATATAAAAAGATTATACCTATTGTACATGTATATCAAATTAATTTATGAAATATTCATTTAGACACGATTCCATCGATGATTTATACATTACAATTTCTTTTGTTTTTTATTACGATAAAATCATCCTATATAATATATATGAATTCTCATTTATACAGTTTTTCTCCGTTTTGACATCATATTTTAACCAGATTACTCATCCGTTATTTAGAATGCCAAAAACAAATTTAAATACGCATAAAACTTATTAGGCATTTAGAACATAAGACAATCTCGCATGGTGTACCATACATGGTGGCACACATTTAATACACGAACGTAAAATACTTTCAACTATTTGAATGAATTAAAAGTTTTCTCTTATGAGACACATACGCACAGAAATTTCTTTTTTTAAGCAAATATAAAATACATACAATTCATTATTATGCATAAATATACAACACGTAACGAAACCATTTCTTTTAATAGGAATAAATTAACAAAATATTTTTAAAAAGTCACTACATGAATACTACACGATCTTCGTAATTGCCTAATACCTGACGCTCGACTGTCACTTAACGTGTACCCGCGAATTTTTCAGTGATCCAATGGAGATAGCATAAACGTTACGTACACACACACACACTCTCACTCTCTCTCTTTCTCTCTCTCTCTCTCTCTCCTCTCTCATACTTTCAGTTTTTTAAAATAACGTATTACGAATATATATGTAATACTACTAAACTGCTAACACAGCCTCTTTTTGGGAGTGGAGGGTATGCGAAGACAGCGAGATAGGGAATATCGAATCTCTCACTTTCACAGTGTATTCGAGTGTGGTGCACATGCGCTGTACACTATCTAAGTGAGATATTCGTCTGCACCGTGGTGTTTTCGCCAGCTTTTAATTGGCGTTAGCAACATAGGAGTATTACATATATGATTACGAGATATAAATTGGCAAACTAGTATCGCATAAAAACTTGGAATTCATTGTAGCTATAATCCTACAGTACAATCTAATTGATCTCTCTATGCTGCAAATTATTACACATCCATGTCATATTTACAATGAGCATGGAGTATACATGATTAAAAGTGAGATCCATCACACATTCATTTTTTTCTGTACAATTAAAAAAGACTTGCATTTTTATTATACATCTGATATTATGCATTTAAATATATCGGTAGAACATTATAAAAAAAAGTTCTGTATCAGGCAGAGTCACAAAGGTATACTCCCATCATTGCTCTTCAAATGAAAGAAAAAAAAAGCGCAATGGCCGTTACAGAGATATATTCGGTGTAAACGTTTTGTCTCGTCTCCTTTTGAATAAAATTACATAATACTTGTCGCCATTTAGTAATTACCGGACGAATTTGTCTCAATGACCTTTGTTAAAATTTCATCTCTCGTCGCGCTTATTACATCCTTTCGATTCTGCCATATAATAAGCACTAATCTAAGTTTTTTTTCATCGATAAAATTATTTTCTCTTTCCTTCGCGTATTGCGAAACTCATGTGACAACATCGTATTATAATCCAATTTTACACATCTGTCATCGCTGTATCGCATAATCGCACTCATTCACATGACACATTCGTAAAATTATACATTGAGCAGTAAAAAAAATGTATCGATATGATGAATGAAGAGAAATTCGTAAGATAATTAACAAGATGAATAACTGAAGGTGCATGGTATAGACAAGAGAATTTCGTTTATCTTGTAATTGGCAACAATTATACGTAATTATCTTTTTTGAACATATAGTATGTTATATGAATGCATCTCACATTGTTCTTGGCAATGTGAACGTAGGCAAATCGAAAGAAGCGTTTCTCAACAATAATTTATTTACAAAGGAGAATAGTTAATGTGTATATATATATATACTTGATGACTACGGAATCTAGTCTAATGTTCTTCCAATTTCGTTTAACGAATATAAAATAAAAAAAGGAATGGGTATAAAAATTATTTTTCCACGATATGTATTGTTAACTAATCGAAACAATCAAGTAAAAATTGATTGTAAATTTGATACAAACACATGAATAAAGATTAAAATAATATCAAATGAGATAGAATGTTAGTAAAAGAAAATATTAGATAGGACATAAAAAAGGTTTAGATGTAATTACATATATATATATATTTCACAAATGTACCGGGTCACGCTTCTTGTGTGTGACTTACCGCGAAAAATTTAATTATTGCCATCCCAAGCTCCCTTCTTGATGTAGTATTTACTATCATCTCGCTTCTTTTTATATCCTATATCACAGTACGAAAAATGCTACATGTTTCCTAGCCATCAGTACATGTCATTCAGTATAAACGTCGCTCACACATTTCTTATTATGATTCTGATTATACAATCATAATCTACTCGATGATTTTCATACTCTTTGAAAATAATTCGTGCTATAATCCTTTCCCTCCAGTTTGCATATACATTTAATTTGTATGGATTTGTTGTAAATTTCGAGTATAAATTAAGTATGGTACCTACCACATTCATGGAACAGTATAGGTAATTTAAATCCATTTTAGGTGACGATCTATTGAAGTCCGTTGAAGTCTGAAGCTTTTTGTTTTTTCCGTGAAAAAATTGATTAAACATAATCTGGTTTTGATCTTGAGCTTATCACTTTTTTAATATCTCTCTTTCTCTGCACATTTTCTGCTTATGGCTCGATCGGCTGATTGAATTGGGCCGCCAGACGTCTCTTGCCTTTAACTAGCGAGATAAACATAGTTTCCTGATATTTTAAAGCGAATGAGTATATACGTATATATAAATGATTATTTCATAAAACATTAGTTGATACAGAAAAGGGTTTTTTTTCTTTCTTTTTTTAAAATAATGTGTAACTACTCACAGAGTTTACTAGAAGTGCTATGACTGTCGCTGCTCTCATCATCGTCGATAATATTATCCTCGCTTTCGGAATTTGCAAGATTGAAATGAGTTCTCACGTTGGCGGTAGTCTTTTTCTGATTATCTGCCAATATCTTCTTCTTGGGTGTTAACGATAGAGAAGGAAGAGGCAATTCCGACGGATGTGGTGCCACGACAGACTTATAGTAGGGAGAAGTAGGCGGATACAAGGGATTCGCAGCAGCGGGCAATAGATTTTTGGTTGGCGACAACAAGTTCGATATACCGTCGCCAGACAGAATCTGATTCCAACTTGGTAAGGTCAACGGGGGAACCTGAAAGGAGACAATGGATTAACAAACCATGTAGAAGAACAAATAAACAATTTTTTCGTGTATAAACATATCCAATAAAAAGGAAAATATACCTGTACATTCGTGGGATGTTCATCTTGCGGATAGGTAAATTTTGTCGGGGACCAGAGCGATGATTTCCAGTGTTCCTCCTTGCATACAATATCCTACAAGAAAATGATAATTCAGTAGTTTTAATCATGTGTACTGAGATAAATATTAATCCTTCATGATCACACTTCTAAAAAGCCACACAATGATTACTCTGGGTTAAAATGACCCGACCCATTTTTAAAGTGTTATCAAATCGACAGTATTAATTGCAATGATTAAAAAAAAATACAGTATATAATTTCATTCTTTAAAAATTTAATTTTAACACTAAAAAAGAAATCGTAAACATGTATTAGAATTTAACGTGAAAGATGATATATATGTAACTTTCACACTAAATTCTAATACATGTTTACGATTTCTTTTTTTAGAGTTTATTAAAATTAAATTTTTCACAAAATGTTCAGGTTATTTAGACCCAGTGTGACTATGAAGGATTAAGGAAAATTCTAATGTAACATCTCTAAAAACAGATGACTTTTATGAATTTTTAAGAAAAAATCTTGATATCCAAATAATTTTTCAAGATATGAAGAGACATTCTTAGGTATAAAAAAATTTTGGTTAAGCAACTAGAACTGAGGAGCATGTATTTGAAATACTTTTATTTAACATATAGTATTTGCAATAAAAGTATATTTTGTATTTTGTATTTCAGTAGAGCACACGAAATTACGTATTTTATATTTAAAATCGAAAGACTAAAAGTTTTTTGTATTTTATAATTCAAATAAAATTGATTGTTAATCTTAGTATATGAAATACAAAATATAAAATACGTTCAGTCTTTCAATATTAATACTAAAACACAAAATACTTTTACATATTCGTATGAAATGTACAAAATATAAAATATTTTGATATATTTCGCTGCATACAATATGCAAAATACAATTGTTATAAATACAATTTTTCAAATAAAAGTATTTCAAATACATGTCTAGCCCTATGAACAACGTATAAATAAGTAGCATTTGGAAAAAAAATCGATTTTATATTGCTGTAAAGTTTTTATAGCAATAAAATCGAAATGGCACAATAATCAAGAAAACTTCAGGAAAATTTTTTATATTTGATTTTTCTGTGATAGATGCTATACTGTACGCCGTACATCGCTAGAAGTAGTTAATTATTATACGCTATTCAGTATGAGTATACAATAAAAAATGTAAAAAAAGCCAAATTTTTTATGTTCCAAGAGAATGCCTCATTATAACTTAAAAAAGTTTATTTGGATATTATTAAGGTTTATCCAAAACATTTATAAGAATCACCATTTTCAGAGCTATTACAATGGAATCCTCCTTTAATTTTAATTAATTAAAATAATACCTCGGGTGGTGAATCGGGTTTGGGTGGCGGCGGTGGGAAATTACGTTGCATTATTGGTGTGCGCATCAAGCTGTTGAGGAAGCTTTCACCGCCGCTTTCCGGCCAATTAGTTGTGCGTTCCTCCGAACTCGGCAAATTCTTCCAATGCTTATCAGAAACGTCCGACCACAGAGTTTTATCGTCTTTCGTTCTCCAAGAATTAATGTTTGTCAACTGATCGATCCATTTCTCATGATCCATCTGATCATTCATTTGGATGCGAACGCCGAGAGCATTTGGAGCATTTGCGCGACATGAAGAATCACTTTCAAATGAATCGTTGCTGGAATCCGTATCGTGATAAGATGACATCGGCTTATATATTGATGGCAAAAGTATACCGACGGAAGCTTAAAGAGTGAAAAATTCAAATTAGCAAGATACCAACAAACACATGAAAGAAGTTATACTTCAACTATTTATTTACCGGCTAATTTTTTATTCAAATAGATAATCACTTCTTTCTTCCGTGTCTCCTTTATCGTTACAGTACAAGGTAAGGCTTGTAAAAGTGCAGTTATTGTTGGAAAACCATACTGTGCAGGTTTACAAGCTATGCCTATAATATTCAAGTATGACGTATCAAACTGTGATAAGTTTAATGTACCACCATGATTCATCATTACGCGATAAAGCTCACAAGCGAAGCAATGCAATGTTGTCAGCTCGATGAATTGTTCGCCGTTTATCACTGTGAACTGTAAGATATATTTGTAAAATATATATATATACGGTAAACACACGCAAAAATACTCTGAATTATTCAAAGAGCAATTTTAATCAGCCAATTTTAACGGTAATACAAACAATAATAGATCGCTTCTTTTGTATTAAATTTATACATACTCGAACAACGTTTGCTAGATCTTTTTTAAACTCTTCCAAATTACATGGCTTCATATAATATTGAGAGTATTGTTTTACAAACTCTTTGACAGGCATTCTATGTTGGGGTTGGTCCATTAACACACGTCGGCATTGGAGAGTTCTTTGCTGCAAATGCGATTTGTCTACTGTGATGATAGCTGGTCCTGTAGCCAAGTCTATAATCTGCGATAAAGGAGAGTCGAAACAGTCAATATTATTAAAGCATTGCTAGTTATTAGACTGATTATGATGCTGCGTTACCTGAATAGTATCTCCAAGCTTCTGCATAAGCTGCAACATCGAACTGCAACCGTACAATTCAGGACGTAACATGTAGCCGAAATGACGTAAGAACTTTGGCGCGATACTCGAAACACTTAGGCCACTTCTAGCGCGTATCACCAATTTCGATATTTGTTCGGAGAGAACCTTAAGACCCTCTTTCTCAGTTAAAGATATCTGTCTCTCCCCGCCGTTTACTTCTTCGATTTTGACTACATCCGGAATTGCTTCGAACAATTCGATCAACTTGGTGAATCCGTAATCCGACACGCGACATTGATGGCCGAAGTGATGATGATAGGAAGGTACAAACTTATTGAATAACATCCTACATTGCGGCGCATGTTGCAGTAATTCGACCACCTGTTAAATTACAAGAATTTATTTTAATAAAGCTTAATAATTATGCGTACAGTCTCTGCAAAAAGTTTGAAATTGGAAATGTATTAATATTTATATTTTCCATATAAAAATGAATATTAAAATTACATATGAAATAGCTGTTGTGTGAATATCATGTATTTATTTAACAACATGTTTTTATAGTTTATTCATTAGATTTATTATTTTTTATTATTATCCCAAAAAATAATGACAAAAATTTCAATATTTTGTACAAGTGCTTTAAATGATCAAAATTTATGCCAAGTTTTATTGTGATTCATACATTAATTGTTCTATATAAATGAATAATTAAGCTTTACTTACACAACAACTAATCTATAAACCGCAATCAAAATGTACGTAAATAATTTTAATTATTTAAAGTACTTATATCAAAAAATTAAATTTGTTATTTTTCTTTTAAGTTAAAGTACTATAATAATAAAATAATAATAAATGCAACAAATAAAGTGTCATTAAATAAATATATAGTGTTATTTACACAATTGTTTTATATGTATATAATTTTAGTATTTATTTTTATATGGAAAATATAAATATTAATAAATATTTCCAATTTCCAACTTTTTGCAGGAACTGTACAGTTAATAACCTTTAATTCATAAGTTTTCTTTAAAAAAGCAATTCACGAATTACACACCTCCTTAGCGAACAATTTCGTTCGTTCCATTTCTTCAGCAGTCTGTTCGCGTTTGGGGATGGCTATCATCTTATCATTGGCTTCCATAGGAGTTACGACGACCGTATTCTCGGACACTTCACCAAGAATATCTTCGATATCGCATACCCCGTAATCCACGATGTCCCATGGTTTTGCTTTAAAAAAAATGTTACATGTTCCTGTGATCACCTACCTTTAAAAAATAAACGCGAATAAATAAATGTTACGACGTTGTACCTATCACTCGTTGATAAACGCTTGGAAATTCCGAGAGTGCCACTTGTTTGCTCGCTTTCGATTTCAATACTCGCAGTAAATCTGAGGTGAATCTGCGTACTTGAGCACGATGCGACAACGTAACCACGCGCTTATTGCCTTCTCCCATTACCTGAAAGAATACACGACGATTCGTGAATCTTTCTGATTTAACATTGATTCACACATAGCTACTTAATTTACATAAACTTAATTTACTTGGACAGTGTGTGTAAGTGCCTCTAGCAGATCTATTAGTTTAGTGAACCCATAATCAGCGACTCTGCACTGTCGTCCGAAGTGATGGTGATACGCCGGTATAAATCGATTGAATGGTAATTGGCAGTGCTTCGCGGTTTTCAGAAGATCGACCAATTCACGGCTAAAAAGAGCTAGCTGATTCGCGAGCGGTGGACTCACGCACTTGGTTTCTGAAAAGAGCAACATGTCGATTCTTGCAATAAACTTTGATCAATACACATTTTACATTGTTAACCAATTTTTATAAAAAATATATACATCTATAATAGTAAATTATCATAACAGTTAATTTTAAATTATGATATAATAATTTATATGTATATTATACATTTTATTGCATTATTATAATTAAAATTAACTATTATAAAATAATTACCATCGTGATTATTTTCATGATCCTTCTTCCCTATCCACACAATGTATTTCACACTGCCGATATCTTGTCTTAATTCAACACATGACAAGCACGATACCAAATGCTCTAAAGGTACACCTTTCTCTACAATTTCTAACTGCTCTTTGAATTCGGCCTCGTAACAGTTCGGTAGACTGAAATTATTCAACAGAGTGTAAGCAATACATATTTTAAATTAACGTTAGAATTCTTTCGCACTATATAAAGTTTAACATAAATAATAAAAACATACCTTGGCAAGGGTAGAATACCATTGTGCGACGCTAGTAACTGTTGCAAACGAGACTCGAGAAGTTTCAAAGAGATCTTTACGTTAGGTAAGGATGCCATTTCTTGTTCCGCCCAGCCTTTGTCCGATAATGGTTTCGAGGTATGCATTGTGCAATACGGTAACTTGACTTGTCCATCCTGCAAATGTTGTTCAATATCTTTCATATATATCAAATGTGTAATTTTCTATCCACAAAAGAGAGTAGTATATCAATTCAGGATGAATCGCTTTACAATTATGATCAAAGCTTCTCGACAGTAAGAGGAACTATAATGTAGTTCTACCATCACCGGAAAAGCTCAGACTCGGCTTCTTATTCATCATTTAGCGAATACTAAATACACAGAAAACAACACAGAATACAATCGCGCACCTGTATCGTATTACTAAAGCACGGCGACGGTGTGTTTCTATGATCCGGATTGAGCGAGACCATTCTGCCACTCGGATCTTCAGTGATTATGCATACGTCTCTCATCTTGTAAAGTTCTGACACGCTTATAGAAATCATAAATCGGCTCTCGTACATCTCGCGAAATTTGAATAACGGTAGTTTGTGTCCCGGGACCTCTTGCAAGAGCAATACGATTTGTGCTCGGATAAGTTGCAAATTTGGTCCACCGATATGAGCGTAAGATATCAAAATGCGCTTGTAGCCTATTTTACGACGGTGTAATTGTGAGATCGCATATTGTGCGTCCGATAATGAAGGTACTTTCACGCTAGCGGCGTAATTACCGTCCGATTGTGTAAATAAAGAAATATGACAGCTCTAAAATAGAAAAAAAACGTATTTCTACAATAAATGGATCGCACATAAATTATTTTACAACTCTTTCAATAAATAAATGACCACGTACCGAGACGTGTTCCATGAACACAGACGAAAGAATTCGCTTCATGTCTTTCATATCGATGTTTTGATCTAAATTCGTTACTTGCAATTCGATGGGTATATTAGTGCCATTATTGGTGTTATGTCCGACGCGATTATTTACAGGATTAAAAAACTTCTAAAGAAGAAAAGATTAAGAAACAATAGATTGAGTGAAAAGAATAAATTAACACACAACAATCGGAAAAAAAACCCTAAAAAATCAAGTTGGATGTTTTAATGCTTAAATAATTCCGTGTGAATTTATACATTACATATCTAATCCTAAAAACTGCGAGCCAAATTTAATTTTTAGTCTTGAAACGCAATCCTAACAGAACTAAAGCAATAATAACATAAATTAAAATAACAATTTTTTTATACGTTTTATTATTTATGTTTTAAAATAACAAACAATTTAATAATATTGATGTTCATAGGCGTTTAGGAACTTTATTTCCGATTTGTTGTGTGCTCACATTACACTCTCAAAGATACTGTATTTAATTAAATTAACACGTCGTAACAATACGAAAAAAATACCTCTACTTCTTCGTTTTCTGCATCACTCAGATGCGATCGTGATGTTTGATTATGTTGTCCTGTCCCTTGTAACATATTATTTTCGTAAGGTGATGGTGTTTTATTATTTCGTGTAGAAATCTGCTGTTGTTGATTCTAGAAAAGAAAAAAAAGGAAATACTTTTCCAGAGTGCTTACTGAAATCTTGCAAAAAAACTCTGAAAATTTGCGGTATTTTAAAGGTATTCCCGGTATTTTGAAGATATCTTTATTCAAAACACAAGATTAGAAAAATTTTTAATGCCTTAAAATAAAATGGAGTACAAACAACGCAAATTATATATTGAAAACAGGAATTCGATAGCATCAGTGAGCTACTGTATTCTGCTGAGTATTGTCTTCTACTATCACTCTAATCTTTTTCTAAAAAACTTGCAAAACATACAGAATGTACGTGAATATACGAATGTGTATGTCATATTTATTATTAACTATTTTGCATTATCAAGAAAAACTGGTTAAAGAAACAATAATCTTTTTAGAAAAACAGAATTAAAACTTGAAAGTAAAATTCCAAAAATTTTCCTAAATCTCGATAAAATTCTATAAAAATTCCAGATATAATTTTTAGGGATAAAAAGAAAATCCTCCGAAACTTCCAGGTAATAAATACCCTTTTATCTTTTCGTTCCTCCAAATATGTTAGATGAATAAAATACAATTGTGTTTATACCTGACTGTGCCATGAGCTCTTTTCTCTAGTCGGCGCATCATACAGCGGAGAAGGACTACGTCGTTTGTACGGATTGGATTGCACTGTTCCAATAATACACAATATTAATCGTCAGACGCGATCAAAATGACATAATACAGAATTGATTTCAAATTATTACCATTATAACCAAGTGGAACAGCTAATGAATTGTATGGCTGCCGTCCTCCAATCCATTCAGAAGCATGAAGAAATGTACCATGTGTACCTCTGATGCGCCTAAGACCTTCAGGAGTGCGAGAAGTTGTGGTAACAGCAACATTATTGTCCCGAACCTGCGGGACGTGAGTCCGTTTATTTAATATCTTTGACTTCTCTGCCTTAAACAAAATTAAGCAATCGTTTAGAACGTTATAAAAGTAAACATTATAGTAAAAAAAATGAACCAATTATAGCAGATTACCAACAAGGTTGAGAGAGAGAGAGAGAGAGAGAGAGAGAGAGAGAAAAGAAAATATATCACAGAAATCTAGATATATAGATAGATTTAAATAGTTCTTAAACAAAACTAACTTTATATTGTGGTTCCCATATATGGCCATATTGTTGAGGTCCCGCCAGTGGCCATATTATATTTGGTGATTGCACCCTAGTAAGGTCATTGTACGTCCTATTAAAAGATACCTCTCCACTATTCAGATACGATCTCTCAAAAAATATTGGAGGTTGTATTAGCCTGCGAAATAAAGATATTAAATATAAATTTCCATTACAGTTTTGTAGCAAATATAAAATTCATTTAATATTTTACATCAGATAAGATCAAATTACAAGCTCATAGCCCGAATCAGCAAGGATAAAAATCTACTCGCGACTCTAAGACTCTTTCTCGGATTATCCATCATTGAAGAGAAACGATATCATGTTAATTCACCAAATAAGAAATTTAAACACAAATTTCACAAAAACTGACCCCGATGGTGGGCCATTGATGGGTGCGCAATGGGGATTGAAAGCAGGATAGCCACCCACTACAGAGGACGAGGACTGAACATGTGGAAATTGGAGGGTCCTTTGCCCTAGCACAGAGGCACTCGCAGCATACATTTGTTTAGAGTTACTTTGCCTAGAGTCAGTAACAATTTCCGAATCACTAACTGCCCTACTCCGAGTTATGATACTTCCTGAAAGAATATTATTAATTACAATAAATTTGGTGATCAAGTCTTGCGTCGCTTAGAATTTTACCAACACAAACGTACCTAGACTTTTGACAATTATGTTTCCTTTCTCCTTCCCGAGATATTTTACAGATATTTTCGATCCAAGAACAAGTTCTCCTTCCATACGCTTCTGAGCCCTATCAAAAATAAAAAAAGAAAAAACAAATTCACATTGTTATTGTATAGTCCGTTAACAAGTAATCTCACTTATAAATGACCTTCTTAATCGCGAGACTGTACAAATATCTTGACATCGATCGATTACAACGGTAATTAACAATAAGTAATACAAAATTTTATCCTAAATAGGAATGCACGTATAAAATAAACTATGTATTGCGTATAAAATAAATATTCTTCGATATTAAGCATCATAAATTTCTTTGACAATGGTGATATACAACTTACCACAAATAGAAGTAAAACCATCACTCAACATTGCAATATTGAACATTTAAATAAACAATAAATACTAAATAATAAGATATATATTACTCTGTAGAAAAATTTCACTATAATAAATTCTATTATGTGCTAATGAATATAACAGTTAAGTAAATTTATTATACTATATGATGTTCTTTGATACCACTATGTTCGTTACATTACTGTCTGTTATTTCAAATCTTCCCTATTTATGTTTTCATCCCTGCTATATCTGTATATGTAATAAAGGAGACAGATAAGACCGTTTTTCCTCCTTTTTTTTTAAACATGTATACCGATCCAATGGTAGAACAGAGAATGCGAAAGGTTGATTTGCACGACATATATGAGCGGGATATTTAAATAAAAGTTAATATAGAATAAGCTAGCAAACGAATAAAGAACATAAATTTCAATAGTAATTTTCTGATTATTATCTGAAATTGGGGAATTCTAATTTATTCTGAGAGACCTAATTAATATTTTCTTCATGTATCAAATTTAATAATAATTAATTCAACTATGTTTGAGATTTCGATTTGACTGACATTTTACGGAGCTATACGGATACAAATGGAAATTCGTCAAATCTAAAAATTTTGAACGAACTTTACAAAGTTTCATGGTTTGAATTAAAAATAATAAACAAATTCTGTTTACAGTTTTCGAAAGAGTGAATCTTTGCCTCTAATTTACTTTCTTATGAAGCTTTGTACGATTTTTTTTCGCCGAGTTATTCGACATTGAAGTAAAAGGGGTCGTTTTTGCTTCAATGTTGAATAACTCCGTACAATGCTTAATAAAAAACTAAATTAAAGATAAAGATTCACGCTTTTGAAAGATGTAAACCAAATTTTTATGTGATTTTTAATTCACATCATGGAACTTTGTACACTTTTAAAGGATCATCAAATTTTTGCTAAAAAGATTGTCGATATTTGAACTGTGGTAACTTTGTAAAAAAAATTCGTAAAATAATCTTCATTTATCTCTCGGCGAAAAAAAATCGTACAAAGCTTCATAAAAAAGTAAATTAAAGGTAAAGATTCACTCTTTCGAAAACTGTAAACAGAGAATTTGTTTACTATTTTTAATTCAAACCATGGAACTTTGTAAAGTTCGTTCAAAATTTTTAGATTTGACGAATTTCCATTTGTATCCGTATAGCTCCGTAAAATGTCAGTCAAATCGAAATCTCAATTACCGTTCGCGAAAGTAGAGATTTCAAGCTGTAAAATGCTTTTTTAAACGATCTAAATCTCGATTTTTGACGAAGTTATACTGTTTTGAAATTGCCTATTTTGGGACGGTAAAATAGGTGATGCTTTAATTTTGCTGTTGAGCGTATATTTAACGCAACTTTTATTTCAATATATCTGTGATAATCAAAATTCATAAAATATATACCTGTCTGCAGAACTGTGTGACGTAAAGCGTAGAATGGCAGTATTTGACTGGATATCTACCACGCGACCACCGCAATTTTCAGATAATTGCTTAAGACGACGTTTAATGATACTAACATCCGTTTCATTGGGAAGGTTACTAATTAGAAGGTCATAGGATTCATAACCCTGAAAGTGTTAAATTATATTTGTAGGTAAACTGCGAATACACACACACACGCGCGCGCGAAAGACAGATTATGTGTGCCAGTAAATTTTAACATTATACATATATATATATACACATATATACCGTGGAAGTGATGAAGTTGAGTTGTGTTTTGAAAAATCACTGGTCAACTGTACGAAATAACTACATTGATGAACATATTACAAATTTGAAATTTAAATGCACGTTTCATAAAACTGAAAGACTTAATGTGTCCTCAGTGTCGCCGAATCATTGAAATATATTTTGATTGTGTATATATATATGTATATATATATATATACCCCTCATTTGTTACAATGACATAATTCGAAAAACAAAGTTTTCCGAAGAATAAGTTTGAATGTTTTAAATTACTAAAATTTTTGGAATATTAATTTTTTATCATAAATTCAAAAATAAAAGCCCATATAAGCTGACAAAAAAATAATTGTGTAACAAGTATATAAATAAAATAAAAGACATTCGACCTTGGTTTGATTTCTTGTCGGAATAGAACCGACATAATTAACAAAATAATTATTTTCACTTTATAAGAGCAGAAAAATAATCAAAATGAGTTTTGAAATAATCAAAGTGAAATTTGTGGAATGTTGTCAAACCAGGAAAACATCGTAAGTCTAATGACCAGAAGTAAAAAAGTTATGAAAACGAACGTCTTTAGTATTTAGAAGAATATTTTTATTTTTCGATATTAAGCCCATTCTACAATTAAAAAGGTAAACATAGTAGTAAGTGGTTATAATTACAACCAATCACAGAAGAATATTTTCCTCATATTCGACTATGATTGGTCAATTCTTACAACTACAATCACTTCCAACTATGCTTACGCAACTATAGAATAGGCTTTAGATTTATGATGTTTTTCCGGTTCAATGGAAACAATGTTCCGAATTGACTAATTTTGATGTTTCTACTGGTTTTCTTATTGTAAAGCAAAAATATTAATTTTGTTAATTATATCAATTCTGAAGAGCACCCAAACGGAAGGTCGAAATGTCTGTCCTATTTTACTAATATACTTACAAGGGAACTACACGAAGTGATAAATTCTGATTTTAATGAAACTTTGTATACATGTAGATTATATAAAAAGATGGCAAACAATTACATAAATATATAAATATATAAATAAGGACTCTCAATCTTAAACAATAAAATAGAATTTCAGATAAGGCTAATGAGAGTCAAACGCTGATGTAAGAACAAAGAGTTAGGAGATGAAATTATCTGAAATTCTATTTTATTGTATAAAAAAATGAATTTAGAAAATGTCCGTTACAGCGGAAAAACAGTTTGAAGAGGTGAAATCACCCCTTATGTGGTAAAGCGGTTTTCAGTTTTTCCGTTATATCTCGAAAACTATTCGAGATATCAAAGAATGTTTTATACAAAAGCTTTATAACAAAATTATCTCTATTCATTTATGTCAATATTTTTAAAAAACTTTAATTAAAAAAAATTTTATTTTTCAAAAATATTATTGACGTGGGGGGGGATGAACAGAGGTAATTTTATTGTAAAAGTTTTGTATAAAACATTTTTTAATATCTCGGAAGTTTTTAAGATACAACGGAAAAAACTAAAACCCGTTACCTATATAAGGATTACCTATATAATTTCACCTCCTCAAACCGTTTTTCCACCACAATGGACATTTTCCAAATTCATCTTTTTATGTAATCTATATATGTATACAAAATTTCATTAAAATCAGAATTTAACACTTCGTGTGATCCCCTTGTTAGTACACACAATTATCTTGTGTCAGATCATATTGGTTTTTATTTTTGAATTTGTTTCTCTTGGGAACCTTAGTCTTTTATACGTTATTGTATTAATCTTAAAATATAATTTTGTAATGTTTGTAGAGGATTGTAGAGGAATAAAAATATGTGCCTTCAAAGTATTTTTTTTCCTTTTTTCTATTCTTTTTCTGCAATTAATTTAAAAATGTCATTTTTTAGTCACGTCTTGTTGTAGTACATAGAGCGATATGGATTATTGAAAATGAGTCTAAATTATATTCATTAGGATGTACGAAGTACGCTACAGATACATACAAGACAAAGTATATTCGGAAAAAAAGAATGAGAAAAAGTATACTATGTATACTCTATAAATATTGTTTATTAAATAGATACATGTAAGAAAAGTGCAGCGTAATTTATAATACTAGCAGCTTAGAATGGAAATTCCCTTGTCAATATTATAGTCGCCACATACCAGTCTTCATACCTTTGGTGGAGGTCTGGACGGCAGTGGTTCCGTGAGCTCCATAAAGTCATAATGTTCATTGGCGCATAATATTAACGCTTCTGAGGTATTCTTTTTATGTAGCAGTATCACATGAATCTTCTTCCTATGACGTAGATCACTGAGATCAGCGGCAAAATTAATATCGCCAGATATTAGGATTATAGCTGCCGGGCTGCCGTGGATGTCGGCAAACCTTCTAATGGCCTGTTTAAGCTTTTCGTCTGCGGCATTTTTACATGTAGCAGCTACGTGTATTAAATTAACCTAACAAATGCAGAATAAGTTATTTGGTAATGGGCGTTGTGTTCCGGAGTTTGTAGAAATTATGCCATGAAATTGTTTTACCTGAGCATCATTTAGTTCTTGAATGATTTGGCTATTCTCTTTCTGAACATCACAAACCACTATAAATTCTGCCTCTCTATAGCCATCAAAAAATTTATCTCTAATTAACTGTGTAACTCCTATGGCGGATCTACCTTTAGGAACCTGCAATACAATTATTTCATGACAAATATTATTTCATTGAAATCCATGATTAGAATATTAGGTCTATTCTTTGTTACTGCACTGGACTACACTAAAACTTTTTGTCTCCAAATTCCAAATATGCGGATCGTTCAGTTAAGAACGTAACGATGCTTAAGGTTCGATTCCTAAGGTCATCTTAAGACAAAAATTCTAGTATCAAAATATCAAAGCTATAACAACTTTTTGAATTATAAGCACTTAAAGTTAGCGAATCATGCCACATAAAGTTTGCACGCTTAGGTGCTATTGGATTTTCTATTGTATCTAGAGTTACCATATCCATCCAATTTTTTTTCCCGGATAGTGAACATCATTCTTTTACAGCATTTGGGAACGTTTGGAAAAATTTTCCAAAAGTGTCCCAAATAATTGTCGCTTATGATTATCCCAGACATCTTTGGAAAATCTCTCCAGACGTTTCCGGATCCCTAAAAAAAAGAATAAGAAAGAACATCCTAAAAAAAAAAGAATGGATGGCAATCCTAGTTATATCACATCTGAACGCGCGAACTTCAAGTAATATGATTTAATAACTTTAAATACTTATAATTTAAAATTATTGTAGTCTTGACACTTTGGTATTAGAATTTTTGTCTCAAAATGATCTCAGGAATTTACCCTTAAGTATTGTTATAATCTTTACTAGACATCCTGTATATCTATAGGTCTATTCTTTTTAGCTAAACTTCTTATGTGGTTAGTCTTTTCTTTTTCTTCAACGTGAAAAAAAAGTGTTAAAATAAACTGTGCGAGCAACTTAACTAAAAGAACAAATCATATTTCATTTTAAGTGCAACAAGTATCCTTTTTAGCAAAACTTCTTGTACGGTTCATTTATTCTCTTTTTCTCCAAGGTGAAAAGAGAAAATTAAAATAAACTGTGCAAGAAGCTTAGATAAAAAGAACAGACCATAATTCAGCCATAGGCCTATTATTTTGATGATAAAACAAGAGAAATTTTCTTCCTCCCCCTCGGAAGAAGAGATTTTTATCAAGTCCAACCTGACAATTCTCAATGTCCCAAAATACGCCAATGGGTGGAAGATGATTCGATGTACTTGACATCTTAGCTGGGCTATCATAACACAGAAGAGAGCAGTCATGTCTGCAATGGCTGAACGACAAAGAACCAAATGCCTTAGAGTCTATATTAGAACCACTATTGTTTTCTAGTCTAATGTCACACAGTGAATTGTTGGATTCCGAAGAGAAAAACTTTGGCGAAGACAACAGAAGTTGTTGTATCAGTTTGTCATTAAGGCCCTCAATCTCGTCATTATCTTCCGCACAGGATGTACGGTAATCAGAAGAGTTCTCGCCAGCCATGTGTTTCACAAGTTTTCTGATAGGATTTCAATGTATTGGCTGAAATTAAATGAATAAGTCAAGATTAAATAAATACATGACAAAAGTATATAATATAAATAAGTCAAAACATTGTTATTTTATTCATCTTATTTGGTCAAAGTGAATACTCATGCTTAATATTTTGTTGTGTAAATTTTTGCAAATTTCAGTTCATACAAAATTGTATAACATTTCATATTGATAAAATTATACTCATGTCTTTAATTTTTAAACGAGACATATAACACTGTACGATCGCTTAAATAATTCAAAGGTATGTATAATTAATGATTTTCACAAGAGATATAATAGTAAAGAAGCGGAGAAAGAAAGAGAAATTCATCGCGAGAACATGTCCTTCTGACAGCAGAAACAAGTTCTCAGCGAATTTTCCTCCGCATTTAAATCGCTACGCGCAAATGCAGATCGACGAATTTTTGACTTAGGAAAATGTAGCACGAGGATACGTTTGGCTACGTTTGGCGCGTTACCTGTGAAATTCAGCCATCGTTCCACCATCACTTCCTATGCAGCATCGGGCAAAAACGCGGCAACCGGCACAATAAAATAACAAACAGGTAAAACATTACGGAAGGGAATCATAGGCGAGCGCATAATTCGAAAAATTCCATATCCGAACTCGTCCGTCACAGTCAAGATTGAATCCCCAAGATGTGCGTTTCTTGTATAATTTTTCTTCTATTTTATCTTAGGTTTGTCGCGTCGCATGCACCAACATGTTCCAATATGCTCCTACGATAGCTCTTACTCACTCCAACGCGCTTGGTAGAATGAGTAGGAGCTATGGTAGGAGCATGTTGGAGCATGTTGGAGCTTCCGACGCGAACAAACCTCATGTGTTTCAATCCTCTCTCTGTCTCTCTCTTTCTCTCCCCCCCCCCCCCCATTATTTCTCTCTGCGTGGCATGAACAGAGCGATATCTGAGAGCGATCATCTCGGTCTTTTTCGCGTAGAGGTACTTTTTCATGCTGACGCTCGACGCTTATTTTCGACGTCAAAATAAGTCATGTGATAAGCAGGTATTCATAGGATGCGTTCCGAGTTACTCATGAAGCGCATGATGCATCATTTGTCCTTGTTTCATGCGTAACTCGAAACGCACCCATAATCAGTTCTTATATTCAAGATCGTCTTAAGGTGCATTCACATGCAAGCGTCAAGTATCAAGCAGCGGAAGCAGCAACCAATCAACGAGGCGATTTTTACAGTGGCGTAAAAAATATTTTTGCACCACCGTCCGTATCACCCAGCTGATTGATTACTGCTTCCGCTGCTTGACGCTTGACGCTTACATGTGAATGCACCTTTAGGCCGGAATCAGACTACGCATTGAATATTGAGATTGAAGATTGAAAGATTGAAATTTGACCAATCAAAACAATAGGAGCTAAAATTCCTTTGTCCTCACTGGTCAAATTTTAATCTTCAATCTTCAATCTCAATCTTCAATGTGTAGTCTGATTCCGGCCTAAAGGCAATCACACGTACAAAAATTTTAATCGGATCTACAAAAAATTACCGCAGATCTACAATAAAGTTCTAAACCTTAAGCCATAATGCGGGGTCTACAATAGAAGTCGTAGCAGTCGTAAGGTTTTAAATCGTAGAAAATTGACCAATCACAGTCGAATATGAGAAGAATAATCAACTGTGATTGGTCAATTTTCTACGATTTAAGACCTTACGATCGCTACGACTTCTATTGTAAACCCCGCATAAGAAATAGACAAATCATAGTCGATTATTCTCCTTGAATTCGACTGTAATTGCTCAATTTCTTACGGCTTAAGGCTTAAAACACTTATTATAGATCCGGACTTACAGTCGAATCCGAGGGGAATAATCGACTGTGATTCGCCCATTTCTTATGGCTGAAAACCCTATTGTAGATCCGGGGTAACGGTAACCTTAAGACGTGAACTTAAGCCGATGAGCCAATCAGGATGCTGCTTTAGATTTACGTAATCTGACGGAAATAGAAATAGCAGTAAACTTATCCATAAGGCGAGTTTCAACCGGTTGAAATTCACCTTATTGCGAGGTTATGGCTAAGTTTACTATTATTTCCATTTCCGTTAGATTACGTAGACCTAAAGCAATATCCTGATTGGCTCATCGGTTTAAGTTTACATCTTACGGTCACTGTTACGGAATTTTATGTGCGGTAGCCCTAAACGCGGTATTCATAGTCGATTCTTGTATTCAAGATCGTCTTAAGTACAGTCTTAAGATGTCACGAACCAATCAGAAGGCCGTATTAGCATCTTAAGACATTACTTAAGACGATCTTGAAATAAGAACGGACTATGAATACCGCCCTAAGACCGGACTATGGATTCCCTAGAACTATTGCTGGATTCACACTGTATCCGATTTTCGTACCAATCAGAAAACAGGATTCCGATGAATTTTGCTTCGTATTATCGGAATCCTGTTTTCTGATTGGATGCAGAGCGTCATACGACGAAAATCGGATGCAGTGTGAATCCAGCATTACCCAGCTCTTGTTTTATGTTCATTTCTATCAATTAGGGTGAAATCACATGGTGCGGAAAAAGACTGCGGAATAGAGAATGCGTCATTGAAGCAACCAATCAGCGCTATTCAGCGTTATTCGGAATAGCGCTGATTGATTCTTCAATCACGCATTCTCTATTCCGCAGTCTTTTTCCGCACGGTGTGATTTCACCCTTAGATTAACTTTAATTTCGACTCAACTAACTCTTTATCTTTTTTCTAGTTTTAAGAATTATAAAAAGATATAGAGTAAGTTAAATAAATATAAAAATTTATCTGCATGGTAAAAACGGGCATAATTCCGCCATGATACGAACAACATCCGTTTGAAAAACCTGTCTCTCATTCCCTATCTCTCTCTTTCTCTCTCTCTCTCTCTCATTCTTACTATCAATGCACCACTGACGGCACTGACTTTTCTACGCGTATCTACGCGCTTGCTCGCACCTCTTTGGTTTGGAGTTGTGGCAAATTGTGTGCTGTGTGCCTTGTGGCCAGTGTGACTCATAATAACACGGTATTCGATAATGACATTAGTGATACATGCGACTACGTCTCGCTCCACCTCGCTCGCAGAGTGATTGCCCAAGATCTGTTCGTCCACGTCGAGAGCGAATTCGAAAAGCGCATTCCCAACCGAATTCGTCCATCCGATTTTCTCGGCTCTAACAATTCTAGAAAATTCTCTACTGTGAGTGAAATTCGTGTAAAAATCGTGGAATGCGCCTTCGACATACGCGGGACTGACTATAACGGGCTCGAACTACAATGCTAAACGACAATACGTCGCTTGAAACGTTCAGGCCTTTCCTAAACATTTCAAGCATCTTCAATTGAGAGATTTGTCATGCTTTTTCCTCCTTGCAGGATGTCAACGTGAAAGAACGATTGTATCTATAATATCTCAAAGCCGATAGAAGATCTGACAACAGGATTAAACACACGCAGCCTTTTGACCGTCAAAAAGCAGACGCAATGATGGATACAGATCCGCCGGAATTTCTGTCAAAAGACGATGAGATTCAATATTGGATGGATCTTGCGAACCAACTACTTCAAAGGTAGATTCTCTTTTTGCTTTTAAGACTGTTTTGTGTCCAACACGCAGTTGAAGAACTAGAAAATATATTTTAAAATTTACATCGAAATATTGGGAGTTTTCCTGCTAAAAACAGAGATGAGATAGTGTAATCATTATTGTTTAATGTTACATGTAGTCGGACCGTTAAACCTTTAACGTCAAAAATATGATTGCATACAGAATTTGAAGGACTTTATAAAAAATTAACATTCATGGAACTTTTATCTCATTTGACTTGCATGTTCGATTTTATTTTACTACGTTCAATATTCGAAATATATGTAACTCTCTGCTCTGCGTTTATTCTGTATTTGCTTAGGATGAATCAAATCAAGGTGTCGAAATGTCAAAGTTATTGTTAATATCTGATAAATAATTTATTATACATAAGCAAATCCAGTATCGGCTTTTATTGGCTTCTTTTATTACATGATTATCATGTAACATTGCAAACAAGAAAGATGTAATGATTTACTGTGTCTCTTGATGAAAACGTCCAATATTAGGCATCAGAATCTAGCTTTGACCATATTCGACATTTCTTTATTTGATTTAGATTTATTTTTGTATGGAACTGCTATAAGATGTAAATTGCAATAGTGTCATCTATTAAGATCAAAGTAACGTGATTATCAGGATTGTAAATATATGATTTGATCCTTAATACGTTCTGTGCCATGGTGATCCATTTGGACTTTCCCTTCTGTTCTTTATAATAATTTTTGTAGTTTTTTTACGAAATATATTTGAAGGGCTTTTTGCAACAGTGGACTAATCTATATTTTATAAAAGCAGAAAACATAAACTCTAAAGTTGAAGTAATGGAAAAAATTTATTTATTTGTGTTTTTACAAAATATAAATTAGCCCATTGTTGCTATAAACCTTTCGTTTTACTTTATAAATGTAATAAATACAAATAAAAGTACCAAGGATCGCAAAAGACCCACATGACATAATGAACAAATAACTTAAAATGCAGAATATGTCAAGCAATTAATAGAATCAAATGAAAAATGTTACTGTGCCTAAGATATTAATGGTGGTAGTAGTAGTAGTAGTAGTAGTAAAAATACAGGTGGGGCTATAACAGCTACCTAACGTGACCTAGATCGCTAGGGTTCCATTGTCACTCCCTGTTTGTCTCCAAAGATTAAGCGGTCCAGCCCAGCCCCGTACCGTGTACTAGGCTTATGAGGTCGCCTATCTTTGCTCCGTCCAGATCTTCAGGCATCAGTGTTGCCCCAGGATCTGTATCTCTTGCAAGCAAGCAGAGGGCAGCGACACAGAAGATGTACGCTGTCCTCGCTCTCTTCTCTAGCCGGCAGTTTTTCTGCTCGGCTAGTCCGATGTTGTATAAAGGTGTGCTCTGAGGGGCAAGTATCCTGTGAGGAGGCCTATGCCCATTCTCAGTTTGTCTCTTACCATTGCTGTCAGTTCTTTTGTTCTGGCTAGGTTGGGTTGTTTCATTAGTTGCTTTGTCCGTTTGCAGCTTTTTGATTTTTTTCCAGGAGTTTAGATGCTCCCGTTCCAGCATCTCTTTTATCTTTCTTTTACCTAACACGAATGGAACTCCGACGGTCTGTTCAGCCGGGTCCATTTTTGTTCCCAGCTTTGCTAGCCCGTCCACCTTCTCGTTACCAAGTATACCCTGGTGTCCAGGGACCCATACTAGAATAACTTGGGTTGTTTCCCCTAGTTTGTCAAGGGCTTGCATACAGTCCTAAACCACAGACAATTCTGTGGTGGTCTTTGCAAGTGCATCAATGCCTAAGATATCACTCTTAATGCAAAATTTTATTGCATTATATAAATTAAAATATACATGTACAAGTTACTTGTATATTCTTAATTATCTTATTTAATGACTGAACAATGAATCATTATTTTGCATTTCCAACATAAATTTTTAATGATTCGTTGGAGAATGTTATTCTTTGTGCTAATAGATATGTATTAAAAGCAATTATAGTGATTTCTCTTTAAAGTAAAAGAGTTGAAAATGGTGTTTCTTAACATCCAGGAAAGATGATGTTGAGCGGGAACTAGAAGAATTCCAAGAGAATTCGCAGATG